CAGCCCTTGAATACTTCAGTCTGGCTTTTTTTTCCCCCCTCTACTGAACAACAAAATGTTCAATGGTAACGTCCATTTTTCATTAATACACGTGCTTTTTATCTCGTTCCTTTTTAGGCTCAACTATCAAATATTTTTTTTCCTTGGTATTTGACAGATTTCATAGGAATTGGAAAAAGAACACGTGCTTTAAAAAAATCTACATTACAGAGCTAAAGTCAGTTTCTAGACCGCTGCTGGGCCATAATCTTTTACTCAGCTCACCCCTCACACTTCTCACAGTTTATCCCTTTGAGGGAAGCTCCTGCCATTTACAGTTGGTTGGCTGAGACGTTTCTGTGAGCACACCATGTTGCTTTCAGTCAAAATCAGCAGAGTTAGCAAACTCATTTATTTAAATTGTCAACACTAACAGAACTCATCCTGACTGAGAAGGGGCTAAATAAGCACCCTGCCCATGCAACTTGACTGCTGCAAAGAAAAACATGCAGTGATTGCTTTACTGTCTTTATTATTCCAAGAGAAAAGCCAGCTTAAAGTTTCTTGTATTTCTGCTTTGAGAATCTGAGTTGCAAAGAGCTTTACGGATCCTACTTCTGTGTTAACATGAATGCAACTTCATCAAAGTTTTAATATGTGTACATATCAAACCCGAATCCAGCGGTAAAACCAGTAACATTCCGAAGCAAGCTCCAGCACGCTGATGGCCCCATTAGAGGTGACTGGATACTGAGTTGAAACTCATTATTTTATTAAACTTGTAACAGGATTGCTTAAATGCTACTCAAAAATATTACTGTCGACAGACGTTCAGTGAAAAAATTTGCTTTCTTTAATATTTCAATTACATGGAATAAGCAGAGGAAACGACTAAGCAGTATCATGAAAAATATACACAAATTAAAAGTTCTGCACACTCTGAGCTAAAGAATTTATATAAACCAGACTTTCACTCTGCATCCCTTATTGATCTACATATTTGGCTTTCAGGAATGTTTATTTCTAGAGTCTGTTCACAGAACACTTTCTTTCTCCCTTTACCATGAACAAGTAGTAATTTTCACATGCTGAGGGAATCTCAAGAAGATAAACAGGTAAATGGGTTACGGGCAGTGTTTTTAAGATAGTATTGAGATTAGATCTTTCATGGCTCTTCCTACTCAGTATTATGACATATGAAGCAAAAATATGATGATAAAAAAATTTAAAAGGTACAAGAATATGTTAAAATGTGCGGATGTGAGTTTTTTTCTGGAAAAAATGTAAGTCTCTCAACTGTCTTTTCTTACTTCTTCCTTCCTACTACCTAAACTTTGTAAAGTTTGAAGTCACATTCCTGCAAGAAAGGGGGGCCATCAATTCAAAGTTGAGTAAATCTTCATACTCTTTCCTTTTTTTAAAAAATATAGTAATAATCTTTCCTTTACTCACATCACTTCAGATTCTCAGGTGTCCATTTGTAAATTAGCAGCCATAAAATTATTTGGACAGATGGGAAGAAAACCCACATGATAACCCAATAATAGACTGTACTAATCTACTTAAGAGTTGAAAGAAAACAACTTCAACAGCGAGATCTCTGTTCCAAAGACTGAATCCTGACAGAATAACTGGAAAAGCCCCATCAAGTAGCACTGAAACATTTTGTGAGAAGCTGAAACTTACTTTGAAAGACTACATGAAACGGGCATCTCCCAGCTCCACTCAATTGGTCCATTTTCTGCTTTCTGTATTCCAGAAATAGCACCAGAAGGCTTTCCAGTGATTATTTTATACCTGTGATACATTATAAAAATGTAAGACTTCAGCTACTGCCTCTTACACATACATAGGTCTAGCAACTAATCCTCAAAGGCGTATCAATAATACAAATCTAAACAACAGGTTGTCCTAAATTTATACAGCCTAATTATCTGCAATAATTAGGAAGCTTCATTTACAAGCTGACACAGAGTGGTGCTAAAATAGTAAATAATGAAAAGGAAACACTTCAGGCTACGTGGAAGTGACTTTGCCTACGACAGGTTGAAGAAAAATTTAGGAGAGATTTTGTGCATCCATGAAGGAAGCTGAAGTTTTTTCATAAGTGTTAATTAATCAAAGTCAGTTTTCCAAAGTAGCTCTATTTAGGCATTTACGTGGCTAATTTCTAGCATGTTCCATGATAAGAGATGACATTCAGCCACGACAAAGTCACTTACGGGTAATGAAGGAACAGGAAGTGGGCTTTGAGCAATTACTTGAACTTTGACATATCCAGCAATTTGTATATGATTTGGCATTATCTAATTTTGTACTGAACAGGCTAGTAGTTCTCCAATTTCTCACGAAACAAATTGGGGGCAACGTTGTCTGCAACAGAATATTTCAGTTGTGCTTTCTCTTTTTGGAGGACAAGGTACCTCCAAAACACGTTCCTTGCTTATCTCTCAAGCAGACAGAACAATTCACCTGTGGACAATCACAGGATGAGCAGTTTCTTAAAATAAGAAAACTGGAGTCAGCTTTGCAAGGAGTATCAGAACAGAGATGTTATTGGCCTTTTAGAGTTCCTAAGTACCACCTTGCTTTACTTTTTTAAACGCAACACACAGAACAAGATGAAAACAGAACCAGGCTAAGATGAAGCAGAAATTAATTCAAACCAGCACATCACAGACACAACTTCTGTTTTCCAATCAGGAGCTACCCCTGTTATCTTCAGCCACAGTCCACAATTACACTTCTCAAAAAATCACACAGAATCACAGAATGCTAGGAGTTGGAAGGGACCTTTAGAGATCATCTAGTCCAACCTCCCCTGCCAGAGCAGGATCACCTAGAACAGGTCACACAGGAACGTGTCCAGGTGGGTTTTGAACGTCTCCAGAGAAAGAGACTCCACAACCTCTCTGGGCAGCCTGTGCCAGTGCTCTGTCACCCTCACAGTGAGAGTTTTTTTCTAATGTTTTTGCGGAACCTCCTATGTTCCATCACATATCCATTGTCTCTTGTCCTATCATCACTGTGGACATCACTGAGAAAAGCCTGGTTCTGTCCTCCTGACACTCCCCCTTTACATATTCATAAATATTAACAATGTCACCCCTCAGCCTCCTCTTCTCCAAGCTAAAGAGACCCAGCTCCCTCAGCCTTTCCTCATAAGGGAGATGTTCCACTCCCTTCATCATCTTTGTGGCTGCGCTGGACTCTCTCCAGCAGTTCCCTGTCCCTCTTGAGCTGAGAGATCCAGAACTGGACACAATATTCCAGATGTGGCCTCACCACATGTCAGTCCCATGGGTAGCACATGCATTTCAAGACTGGCTGGGAAGACAGGCATTTGAAGGACAACAAAGACTGGCTGGGATAGAGTTAATTTTCTTTACGGTAGCTCATAAAGCAGCACATTACGGATCTGTGACCAGAACAGTCGTGATGTTTCAGCCATTGCTGAGCAGTGGTTACACAGTGTCAAGGCCTTTTCTACTTCTCACACTGCCCCACCAGCGAGTAGGCTGAGGGCAAGCAAGAAGCTGGAAGGGGACAGAGCCAAAGGATTCTCCACACCATATGACACCATGCTCAGCAAGAAAAGCCACAGGGAAGGGGAAAACTTGTCAGGAAGTGTTGGTCAGGGACTGAGTGGGCATCAGCTGGCTGGTGGTGAGCAGTCAGGTTTTTTTGCATCACGTGTTTTCATAGGTTTTGTTTTCCTTTGGGTTTATGGGTTTGGGTTTTTTGTTGTTGTTTGGGTTGCTTGGGTTTTTTTGTTTTGGTTTGGTTTTTTTACTTATTAAACTAGTTTTGTCTCAACCCATTAGTTTTCACACTTCTACCCTTCAATCAATTCTTTTCCCCATCCCACAGTGGGACAGTGAGCAAACAGCTCTGTGGTGCCCAGTTGCCTACTGAATTTAAAACATAACAAAGTTAAAAGAACATTTTTCCTTAAATATTTTCATTATTTTAATGTTTACTATATATATGTAATTTTTTTTTCTTGATAAAAAGCATTTAATTGACTCACTTGATTTTCAAACAGATAAAATTCTCCTTCTAAATTACCTACATCACTTCCTTGTTTCTACGAGGTCCTTCAAAAGGTCGGAAAGGCAAACTCCCTGTTGCAGCGTGGTAAAAGGTCACCCCTATGCTCCACAGATCAACTGTTGCTCTGTACTTTTTCTGATGCTCTTTCCTCAAAACTGCTCGCTCATACATATCTGGATGCTAAAGCAAAAAAACCAGAAAAATAAGTTAAAATTGCTTTATGAACAATATGAAGAACAAAAACCCCAATGCATCATTTCACAGCAAGATACTTTGTCATTCTAAGCTCTTTAATCAAAGATCAAAGTAAGATTGCATCACAGAATTTGCTTAAATTATTCTGACAGAATATCACAAAAGTGTTCCTAGGCATGATAGCCTCTTTTATTAAAGGTTTGCAAAAAATACTTTAAAATTTCGCTAATGATGGTCTACCAGAAAAAAACACTGCTAGAGGAGAAAGCCAGTACTCCTCCAGCTGATTTTGAAATAGCAGAAACCAAATTGCAAGAAGATCCATGACAGAGAGTATCAGTTTTGATACTACATTTGGGAAAACACAGCAGGAAGAAAATCATGCCTCAGAATCTCATATTGATGCTCGTCTCCCTGCCTCTCTTTGGTTAACTAAGTTGTTAAGTGAATCTTAACTACACCTAACATCATCCAAGTGGCTCAAATACAAACTGAAAAATATCTAGAGATATTAGGACTTGCGTAACTAAAATACTGTTTTTCTTCCTTTCACACAGGACAACAATGGTAGTTGGACCTGAAATCATTAAAGGCTACTGTGCTCAGATCAGCAGAGGAATTGGCATTGCTCACGTGAAAAAGGTGGAAAGTTATAAAAACAATTTTATACAAAGTTTTAAATACTGATTCCCATCAGTCCAAGCCCCAGGCTTCAAACATTTCTTCAACATAAAGTGAAATCATATGGGCTTACTAAATATTCTTCTGTGCCATAGAGAGAAACAAACTGTTCATCATCTTCAAGTTCTCTTGCAGCACCGAAGTCTGTAAGTTTGTAAACAGACTGACCATCTTCACCTATAACACGCATTATATTGCCTGGTTTGATGTCACGGTGCACTATTCCATTCTCCCGGAGATGATTCATCCCAGCCACTTCAATAAAGAAAAGAAAAGGCACCAAAAAATACAGGATTTTTGTATACATCTTGACACAGATGGCAAAAGCACTGAACTGTAACTGAGGCTATGAAGGCGTATGTGTTTACGTTCTCATTGGGAAATAAGAATGAGAAGGGACACCAGGATCAGAGAATTTTCTAAGAATTTTTGCATTTTTTAAATCTTCCAAGCAGCTAAATTACAGTATTTCTTACTCTTGGCAACATCTTTCTCATAAAGTAATGCAGCAAAAATTTTCTAACAGGCAGACACAGGTAAATCTCATTATTTTTCTAACTTACTCTTCTGAAATTAATCACCACTAGGAAACAGTCCAATGCGTGACAAATAATCTTGAAACAAACAAACAAAATTATAGCAATGCTTTGAACAGAAATGGCTTCTTAATGTAGCTATCTATACCAATATAGGCATAAATAAAAGATGTTACTCCATATAACCATATTATTAATTTGTTCAATTAGTTGACAGTCATTTAAATTCTTTGTCTCTTGCTGCTTCAAGATAAACAAGACAAGTAGGAGTTCATTTCAGTAAACAAATTAGACTAGAGAGCACAGTCTACATACCCACATCTCTCAAAACAATTAAGAACTCAGACTCCGGCAAACCAAAGGCATTAGAAGGCTCCTCTAAAACTGTATATAAACTCCCACATGGACAAAATTCCATAACTAGTACTTTGTGTCTAGTTGTTGTCTGGAAAAAAATAAAAAAGCAAGTCTGTGACTATTGTGAAAACAATGTCAGAAATTACATATAACCACTGGATTTTACTTTAAAAAAAATTTTAAAAAATCTGGAGCTAGATCATAAATCCCAATTCTGGTGATCTTCAAAAGAAGTGGAGGTGAATTTTTATATTGTTTCATGTATTCTAACTTGGGGGGATTAAGAAAGCCTCAAGTTCTAGGCATTTAGAGGCTTGACAGCGGTATTGATAGGGCAACAAATAAGAAACCACAACATGGAAGAGCAGAGAGCAGCAATTGTCCTTCTTTCCTCTTTCCCAGTCTCAGCATCTGGGTAATTTCAACTGATCGCTCTCAATTTCAGCACAACTACTGCAATTCATGCCAACACACTACCTGCCCCATGTCATTATTTTAGTTGGTGGCAAAGCACAAGCATAGAGTTGTTAGGGTTACTGAAACACCTCTGACTATCAGTCTGTACTAAATTTTCATATATGTAGATAGCTTAAACAACCTAATTCAAGATAAAGCTTAGGACAGTGGCTTGCTGAGATGGCTTTGAGGAATTATGACCCGTGCCTAAACACTGAAAGCAAGCATATTCTTTAAACAACGGCAACAAAGAAATAATAAAAAAAAATGGTGGCAGTTGGGTCGCAGTATTTATATCATATATGTTATCATTCTTTAAAAATGCAACTTTATCCTCTATAGTAAATGATAAAGCAAAAAGGCGATTATTATGGTTACTACATTGCATCTCTAATCACAATTACAACAATTCGTTACCTCTTCTTCGATGGCAAACAATTTGACAATGTTCTTGTGATTTAGTTTCTTCAGCACTTCAAACTCTCGCATCTGAACATCCACAGGACGAAGGAAACTTATACTGTTAAATACCTTGACAGCATATAAATCCCCAGTTTTCTGTTTAAAACAAACAAATTTAGTAATCAAACAGCAGCATAAGATTGTAAATATACACATAGCCACTATACAAGCATTCTGAGATCTTCTGTTGCGCGTATGAGCATAACCAGATCAGAAACAGTTCAAGAGTATTTTGTGTTAAGGTGGAAATTAAAATCCTACTAAAAATATTTATGTATATCTTAGTTTAGTTTAATATAGACTAGAAGTAAACAGACTAGCAGAATGGAAACTGAACATTAGCCCACAGAATCTAAGTGCTTTTAAAAAAAAGAATAGTTAGCATAAGAAAGGCCACACATTTAAGCATGACTCACAAACTTAGCTGAGAAACAATTTTTCAGCAAGAGGTAAGTCAGTTCCACAGACCAGTAAGAGACATGCACATACTACATTTGAGAACCTTGGCTTGCTTAAGAGACAACTGTCGGAAGTTGAACACCGCTCTCTTTTTCTTCATTGTTCCATCTGTCCTGATAAAACAGCATTTTGCTTTTTCGAAGAAGTGTCAAGACTACGTACCACTTGCGCAAAACCCTGAGGCAACTCAAATCTACCTAATAAGTGACACGAGCTTAATCAAGGACTTAAGTTCTCAAGTGGCACGAAACCCCAACACGCTCAGGGACCCACAGCACCAGCCGAGAGTGCAGCTCCTGGCTCTCTCTGAGCAAAGCCCCACCCTGCGCCCAAGTCGAGAAAAAGGTCTTGTGAGCAACAGATTCTTTTTAAGGACAAAGCCTCCCCACGCTCAGACCAGGTGTGTGGTGCATACCGGTGCCCAGATAAAAAGTTTGCTCATCTTGACAATGAGCTGCAGGTCACAGGCTCAGACCAGTGATGGTGACAGGAGGCACAACCACGAACCCTAAAGTTTTACAGGGGAATCGTTCTGTGTTGAAAGTCACTTGTCTGGAAAAGTGCGGTAACTGCTACCTCACTGCTTAGCATCGCTTCACCTTTTAACATGGAACACAGAAAACACTGTAGCTTATATGTAACTGAAGTTATACGTAATGTAACACATAACTGAAGTTACATGTAAGGTATATGTATATAAACAGTGAAGTTATATGTAACTTCATACTGATTTCACACACACTCGTTATTATAAGAGATCACTACTTCCACAACTAAGCTTATGAGACATGCCATGAAACTCAGAGGAACAGAATAACCTATGCAAGTAAGGTCATTTTAGCCCCTCACTCAGGTTACAATATACACAGCAGTGTATCATTTACACGGCCAAACTGCTCAGAGATGTGCTATTTTGTGAGTTTGATTATTCAAGGCACGTCACCAAGAAGATGGTGTCCAAGAGGTGTGAAGCACTGACTTACGGACAAAGACTAACAGCCACTTGATCCAATACAACAGTATGTTAAGAACATCTCACTTATTGTAAAAAACGATTAAAAAAATGTAAAAATCACCAAAAAATGTTTTTAAAAAACTGAGAAAAAATTATGAGACGAGAATTTTAAAAATACAAAAAAAAGTACGGCATGTGATAAAAATTGCTAAGACATATTCCTATTTAAATTCTAAAGCAAGAAGTATTTTTTCCATAAAACTGAATAATGGAGGAATGAAGGATTAATAACAGTTAGTATTTTACAAGGAGAAATAATACAGTATTAAAGACAAATCCTCTGAAATAACCACACAGAACTCTAATTCAGTGGCTTTTTATTAAAAATTAAAAACCAAGTATGAATATAGTTACAACAATATATTAGTTTTAGGCTAAATCTTGACCAGTTTTTCGTTGGTTTAATGACACTACTCACATATAAAAAAAACCAACACAGTTTCACAGGTTGCACAGATTAGTAATTTCTCACGAACCTTATGTCGTCCCCGGAAAACATTTGCGGTAGCTCCCTGTCCTAGAATGTCAGACAACAGCCAGAGGTAATTTGAAGTGCTCTGCATCTTTTCTCTTTGATTAGACAGTTTTTCACCTTAAAAACAAAAGGTTAAATATACTGAAATATTATTTAGTAAAATACATGAAAGGAACTTATTTTAATTAGAAGGAAAAAAAACACACCAACAACCCAGAACCAGAACTGCAAAGACGTGGAAATAATTAAGAACAACCAAGCAGAAGAATAAGAGGTGAAACAAAAACAAACCCAAGCTCAGCAACCACATCTATCGCCATAGACACAACACCTGTCTGCATTTGAGGTCTTTACTCCCCAAACTTTGAAAAATCAACTGGAAAAGTGAAAGCTTTATAATCCTTTGCTTTTGTACACCGGTGTTTAAATGACACAGTAACAAAAACTATGGGAAAGATTCAAAGACGTGCACAAAGTCTTAGGAAAATAAGCAAGACCTGTAATCGAATTCCATTAGTGAGCGTACATGCTGAAGAACAGACATTAAGGATGACGGCAGACAGGGCTACAGATCTTTGAGATCACTGTGACTCTTGAAATTGCACTTTCAGCATAAACGTAAAGGAAGAGGACTAACTACTTACAAAAAGCTATTCTTACACGAGCTAGAGAAAAGCTAACAACTAACACAAGGATTTTTGGTCACTTTTGCTATAACTCCCAATTACTACTGGAAGAAGTTAAGGGATATTTCTCTCCTTTCTAAAACATCACATTTTGTAAGTCACATGATTTCTAGAAAGAGAGCCCGGCTTCCCCACCCTTCCTGCAGTGTAAACTGTCAGATAATCAGGTCTTCACAGATTCCAAAGAAAGAGAAAAACAAAATTAAAAAAAATATTAAATTAAAACAACTTAAAAACCCATTAGTACTTCCAGATTTGTTCTCTTGCCAAAACAGCATTTGCTGCAGATGAATGCCCTTACCTTTTTGGTTCAATGAAAGCACCGATTCTGCCATTATACCTAGTGAAACGCTCCAAGATCAAAGATGTGGCTTCCCAGATTTAAAGAATCTTAGAGCAAAATGGCCACTAGACCAGGGGAAGGTCCTACAGCAGCAGCCTTCCCTCACTGCCTGGCAGGAACATCTGATACTCAGAAGAAACAAAAAAGCCCTTTCCGTAACTACTGGAAGAGTTATGACAGAATTTCCTGCGCATGTTTATTATCACAAGGAGGTGATTGGCGCTTTTTGAGAGGTACCTGGTGCACAAGATGACACCACCAGAAGAAGGGAGGGAGGGAAGGAAGCCGCACGCCAGCCACCGCGGCACCGCTCACCCATCCTGCACCGGCCGCCAGCCCAAGCACCCACCTTCGCACTGCTCCCCGTGCCTCACCACAGAGACAGCAAGTTTCTTATGACTTTGAACACATTTCTCTATGTGTGGTGACTGTGTATTTCATACTTTGATTTAGCACTCTGCTCGTGTAAGATGGGCATTTTCTTGCAAAGCTGTAGTAAAGCACTGACGCGGAGCGTACAGAACGCAGTGACACAACACAAAGACCTGACCTTACTCTCAGTTGAGAGTCATGCAGTGACACTATTTTAAAAATCTAGATAAAATTCTTAATGTCTAGAGAAGGGAAGAAAGGTTTTATCTCAAACCTGAACCAAAAAAACCCACCACCACACAACAAACCTTCACAGTCGTCAGTTAACTCTGACAACACAATTGGCAATAGCAGAATAAGATAACTTCTCCCAGCTGGCAATTACTGTAGATGCCAAAGAGCAACCTATGATGCAAACATGGAAGGTAAGAAGAGGTTTGCAAGGAAACAATGCACAGCTGCTCTGTAAATCCCTTGTAAAATCTCTGAGTTAAAAAATTCCTTATAATTAAAACCCTGCCCATAAAAAGTCGCTGGTGTATTACCACTAAACATGTATTTTGGCATTTATTTTAAAGCAACATTCGTAAGACTTAGACTAAGACGCAGAAATATAATGAACCCTTTCTAAGCACACAGGAAGCGCGCAGAAGCATCAAGTGAACACAGAGCTTCTTCGCCGACGTCTATTCAAATAATAAAATTTGAGCAGGCTATTAGAGACTGAATTATTATGTTGCCCAAAGTGATAAGGATTAGGTAGCTTATGTATGAGATTAGACCCCTTCCTTACCCTCCTACTTTCTAATTAAATTTGCATGAAGGTCAATAGGTAAACACAAGACGAAAGGATAAGTCTGTGACAGACGAGCTTGAATACCATCCAATGGATTTAAAAAAACCCCAACAAACAGCAAGTCACTAATGGGTTCTCGAGGTCTGGGGTTTTTCATTCAGAAAGCTATAGATATAATTACGCCAGTATTAATCCCCGGGTATATATCCAGTGCCAAAACAAAGTTGGTGTTGCACTATTTGTCAAAATAGTATTTTTAGAATAATAACAAAGTCTATACTCTCTTGGCAGAGTCTTAATTTTTAAGGCATAAAGTCTCACTCAGCTTTACTTTTAATCTTCAAATTATAGTAATTTGATTCAATAACTTATATAACCTCCTTTAATACCTTTCCTTTCTTAGACTGGTTCAGAACTGATCTTTGCTAAACACTCAGCAAATCAAGTGTGCTTTTCATATCTTCCATCACCTTTCTACATCAATTCACTATGAGTTTCATTTTAAAAAAAAATAACCAAAATCTCTAACTGTATGACTGGTCCTGTCACGAGACTTAATGCTGCACTTTCTATTTCTTCACATCTCATTTACGGTCATTAAGTCTGACGCTAGACAAGTCAGAAGTTCCTCACATATATCTAGAAGTATCTCTCTTACCAGCAGTTTGACTTATTGCTCCCCATGACTCACTAACATTTCAAGGGTTTGGTGGCTGCTTTTTGTGGTTGTTTTTTTTTTCTTTTTAAATATTCTTCTGCTTCTGCTACTACTTCTTTATTTGTCAGCAGGGGAGATTATAATACAGGACAACTGTATTGCTCCTGACTCTTTTTTAAAGTCCCAATGTTTTGAAAGAGTACTGCCTGCTTCTAAGCAATATGAAGAACGTCGCTGTTCCCTCAGGCAGGGGGGATAAGCGCACACAGCAGGTACCTCCCCTAAGGGCTGCAATGTCCAAGTTTGCCAGGCAAGCCAGGTCAGTTGACGAAGCTAAAGCGAAGGCTCTTACTGCCTACAAGCAAGACTCTCAGTGCCACCAAAACTGACAGGCGAGGTGCTGAGGTTCTCAACGAATATTAAGTCAGAATTATACAGTCTGGTAAACATGAAGAATTTACACTTTCCTATGTGTTCTCTCTTAAAGCCTAGAAAAGAAGATTCTCCCCGTGAAGTTCCTGCTTTCTACCCTTGACTTTATCCACCGAACCTCCACCCAGGAGTTCCCAGTTAAGAGGGAGCACCCGAATTACCGACATAACCTGCCCCGG